TATGTGCCGTCGAGTCAAACCCGACTCATAGCGACCCCTCCTTGGGTTTCCGAGGCAGTATCACTACGGAAGTAGGATTGCCCAACCTTCCTATAACTTTTATAGATACAAAATTTTTATAGACATAGTCTGACACTGTGCCTGAATTATTCTGAATTTTTTTTTCTTTACATAAAATTGATTAATAAAGCCTACTTAACAGGGTTGTTGTGAGGATTAAATGTAACAATATATGTAGGACAGTTAGCACTTTGCCTGACAAAAACTTCCATAATTATTTATTATTATTATTATCATCTTAAACAGTAATTTAATTGAAGCTAGTGGTAATAATAATAATAGAATTGTCATCACTGTCTTCTTTTTAAGCAAAAGTCTAGAGGGAATGAATAGAGATGGCAGGGAGAGGTAAGGACACTCCTTAACTGGTATTCCTTACCAGATATGTCAGTCTGTGGAACTCTCCCTACTTGTGGGCTGAATCCCCTCAAGAGTTAGTAAATCAGATGTATTCATTTGGATATATCACTAGGAGTCAGGTTATAAATTCTAGTAATTTTATAAATTATGAGAAAGAAAAAAATTATGATTACAAGCTATTCCAATTGCATACCATTTATTTCATCTATTTATTATAAGGATACAATTCCATGTGTATGTGCACCTAAAAAATATTTATTTCACTATCAATTATACTTCTGAGGCAAAAATAATTTTTCTAATTTTTCAAGTGTCATACACTTTTTGCTTAGTTTCTTTTATCTTTCCATATCTTTTTGACATCTCATCTTATTGCATACTCTTAGGTCTTTGCTGTAACAATTTCACACCCATACATCCTTACCTCTAACAAACAGGAAGGCACTGTGGTCACTCACACCTCCTCTTGAAATAATTCTCAAGGTATAGAGGCCTTCATCATCCTTATTCAGGTGGCTGAATGACAAGGAGGCCTGACCTTCTCCAAAGAACATCTTTGTCCACTTCGATTCTTTCAATAGTACATCTGAAAGAGCATTAAAATTCAAGATCAGCCTCAGAAACAAATAGAAGAAAAATAAGTGGAAATTTATATGACCTCATGGCAGAGGATTGTCAAACCTGACACCAATAAAATTAGCGTTGACTTCATAAAAGTCTAAAAGCTGTTTGACATAAAGCACGCATGTGAATAAAAGGAAAATAGTGAAGAATAATTTGCCACATGGAACAAAAGGTCAGTATACTCAATGTATAATGGTAGAACGTGCCCTGGGAGGATCACTGGCTTTGTAAACCAGGGTTAATATGCCTGGTCACTACTTCTCAGAGGAAAGGCTACTCTCCATATGCCAGGTTCCTAATCTGTTGCACAATGATGCTAATAGTGTCTACCTCACAAGGTTTTTATTTGAAGTTAATGTTTTCATGTACAGAAAGCACTTAACTTAGTGGCACAGGAAAAGTCTTCAGTCAATGGTATTTAGAAATAAATAATAAAAATACCAACAAACTAATAGATAAAAGAACAATGAAAATAAACAAGTAATTTGTAAAAGAATAAGTGCAAGTGGCAAATTAGCTTCTGAAAAACTACTTAACATTCATAATCAAGAAAATGCAAAATAAAATAATGAGAAACTATTTTTCACCTACTCAGTTTGACAAGTGAAAAGAGGGCAACATCCATAATTGGAAAGGGCAGGAAGACACACTCATACCATTTTAGCACTCAAGTGCCTTATTTACTACAACATCAGAGCTCCTTTGTCCTTTTAGCAGGAGTTAGACTGGGTTCTCTAGAGAAACAAAACCAGTAAAGCTTATATAGAGAAAGAAAGAGAAATTTATCTTAGGAAAATGGCTCACACATTACAGAAGCTGGCAAGTCCAAAGTTCTTGGATCAAACGTCAAGCTGGAGGCTTTTACTGACTCAAGCAGCTGCAGGGGCTGAGGAGCTCAAGGTTGGCAGGCAGTATACTGGCTGTTGATGCCAATGAATGATGAATCCAAGATCTCCAGGCTGAATAGTGGATTGTTTGCTCACGAACAGTTGTAGGCAGCACAACTGAATACCAATCCACAGAATAATGTCTCTTTCCCAGGATGTCCATAAATATACTGGAAGCAGGCAACACCCCTAGGGAAACCCCCTTTCAATGGATTGGCTGCTCAAAAGTATGCATCTGATCCCATCATGGGAATAACCACATCGCAACTGCTTAAACCACACAGAATTGTGGTCCAGCCAAGTTGACACACAGCTCCAACTATCAGTCCACCCCCTGTCAAATTGGTAGTTGTACACATCTTCTTAACCATATATAATCTCTAAATAAGGACAATTATACACATAATATATTCAATATTCTTTGTCAACACCATAATTCAAATGCATTAATTCTTCCATGGTCTACTTTATTCATTGTCCAGCTTTCCAATGCATATGAGGTAATTGAAATACCACGGCTTGGGTCAGTGTCAAAGTCACATAATATCTCTTTAACACTTTAAAAAATTCTTTTAAAACAGATTTGCCCAGGGCAATATATTATCTGATTTCTTCACCATGGGCACTGATGGTGGATCCAAGTAAAATAAAATCCTTAACAATTTCATTTTTTCTCCATTTGTCATGAGGTTGCTAATTGGTCTAGTTGTGAGGTTTTTAATTTTCCTTATGTTGAGGTATAATCCATGCTGAAGGTTCTAGTCTTTCATCTTCAAAAAGTTTCAAGTCACCTTCACTTTCAGCAAGAAAGGTTGTGTCATCTGCATATCACACATTGTTAATGAGTCTTCCTCCAATCCTGATGCTGCATTCTTCGTCACATAATCCAGCTTCTTGGATTATTTACCCAGCATACAAAATGAATAAGCATGGTGAAAGAACATAACCCTAACACACAACTTCCCTGATTTTAAACCATGCAGTATCCCCTTGTTCTGTTCAAATGACTGCTTCTGGTCTTATCTACAGGTTTGTCATGAGCAGATTAAGTATTCTGGAATTCTCATATCAATATTCATATTGATTATTCATAATTTGTTATGATCCAAACAGTCAAATGCCTTTGCATAGTCAATAAAACATGGGGTCAATAAAACACAGGGTGAAATATCAGCAGGGTTGCCCATGGTTTCACCATGGTTTCAGTGGAGCTTGCTGACTAAGACAGAGTAGGAAGAATGATGTAGTCATGTACTTCAAAAGAACTGACCAGTGGAAATCTTGTGAATAGCATGGAAACACTCTGATATATTGCCAGAAGGTGATCCCCTCAAGTTGGAAGGCAGTCAAAACATGATTGGGAAGAGCTGTCTCCTCAAAGTAGAGTTGACCCTATTGCCATGGATGGATGGAGGATAGCTTTCAGGATCTTCAGTTGCTGATGTAGCATGACTCAAAATGAGAAGAAATAGCTGCAAACATCCATTAATAATCAGAATGTGTAATATACAATGTACGAATCTAGGAAAATTGTTAGTCATCAAAAATTAAATGGAATGCATAAAGATCTTTATCCTAGCCATCAGTAAGCTGATAGTGACTGGCATTGGTCATTGTGAACCAGACAATCATATGATCTACTATGCTGGAAAGGACAAATTGAAGAGGAATGACAACACATTCATCAGCAAGAAGAACATTTCAAGATCTTCCTGAAGTACAATGCTGTTAGTGAAAAGATAGCATCCATAAGCCTATAAGGAAGACCAGTTAATATGACTATTATTCAAATTTACTCACCAACTACTAAAGCCAAAGATGAAGAGACTGAAGATTTTTACCAGCTTCTGCAGTCTGAAATTTATCAAGCATGCAATAAATATGCAGTGATAATTACTAGTGATTAGAATGCAAAAGTTGGAAACAAAGAAGCATTAGCAGTTGGAAAATATGGCCTTGATGACAGAAATGACTGTGGAGATTTAAAGATTCTATTATTCTGAAAGTCAAATATTTACACATATAATCAATAGTTTCAATAATATCAAAGACCTATGAATTGTGTAATCTAGGCTAATCTAGGCTATGTCAATAATGACTGGGTTTCTTTTGCCTATTTTGATGTCTGAAAAATGGACACTTGAATTTACAATTTAGTATCAAGGCTGCCCATAATCTAATCCCAGCACACCTGATCAAGTGTATCTACCACTATTCCCCTTACAAAATCTGTTACAGGCAGAGTAATCTACTCGTTGTCCTCTGAAAATACAATACCCTTGAAATTTTTTAAATACCATTTTTCCCTCACCATTCAATGCAGTGGTACCCAACACTGGTTACACGGTGGAATCATCTGGGAAACTCATACAAACGTGGATGGCCAGGCCCCACTTCAGACTAATTAAATTGGAATCTCTGGCCTACCCCAAGCATTGAACATTTTTTAAAATATCCTCAGATGATTTTAATGTACTCCCACAGCCTTCCTCTCTTCATAGCCAAAGCCAATGAAAAGGTCTATCACAGGCTATTCAAGGAGCTTGTTACTAAAGTGAAATAACATGAAGTACAATTTGTTTACCCATCACTGTGCCCCAGTTCAAATAATTTTGCTGTGACTCTTTAGACTCCATTTTGAATGGCTTTTTTTTTTTTTAACCCTAAGTGTTTATGACTTACCTAGAAAAGCTGAGGGAAACAACTTAGTTTCACTCTTTCATGTTTTCACTAAGAAAGAAAATCTTGCAGCTAGACCCCTGGGACATCAATTGTCTATAGTAGACACATCCTCCAGAACTGCTGTACCTGCTTTGATGGAATTTTTCCTATCCATGTAACTGGTAGACATATATATTTCCAGTTCATGATCTCTCTCAAACTGTCAGTTCTGACATTGATCAAATTTCCTGCAGTTAGTTGAAATATGAGATGAAACATTTACTAGGAATCCTTTCCTTCAGTGAAAGAATGAATCACCTTACAAAGAGGGATTTGGTCTTTGTCCTCAGTTTCTTAGAGAAAATCTTTGAAATTTCCTGAGTAGTTGAGTAGCCTTTTGTTATCTAGGTATAAAAACTATAGCAGAGGATTCATGCTAATGAGTGGGGCATGGCCTGATATCAGCTGACCTCAAGAAGGAGAGCATGATTCAATCATGCACATGCAATGAAACTTCAATTATAACTACACAATGAAGTTGATACAGTGTCTGTACACAAATGTTCCAGGAGACTCATGGACAGTGAAGTACATCTATACATTGGCAGCACACCCTTGTTGGGACACAGAAACTATCCACTGGGAACCCTCCTGTACCTCACCCCATGTTGTTGTTGTTGTTAGGTGCCATCGAGTCGTCTCTGACTCATAGCAATCCTATGCACAGCAGAATGAAAGACTGCCCCATCTTGTGCCAGCCTCATGATCCTTGCCATACCTCACCCCATACGACTCTTGTTTATGCTCATCTTGATTTGTATCCTTTTGATATAATAAATCTGTAATCACTCCAACGAGTTATCAAATCCAAAAGAGTAGTAGGAGCCAACAGGTTAAGTGAGGAAACTCAAGGAAGGTTCTGAGCTTGTGGCAGGCACCCCAAAGAGAAACAGGTAAGCCTCAAATGTATGGGGAGCTCTGGTAAGGTAGTGCCTAAGGCATTTGACTGCTAACCAGAAGGCTGGTGGTTCAAACCAACCAGCCACTCCTCAGAAGGAAGACTGGACAACCTACTTCCATAGAGATACCACATAGGAAACCCAAGGAGGAATCTCTATGAGTTGGAATCAACTCCATGGCAGTGAGTTTGGTTTTTTGTTTTTTGTTTTGTTTTGGTTTTGTTTTGGTTTGGTCAGAAGTGGGGGTGTTGTGTGGACTCTCAAACTTGCAGTTGGTGGATGTTTATTTGGCAGTCTGAAGGATGAAGTTCTTTTTAACTTGTGAGATCTGACCTAGTTCCTGGCGGCTGGTGTCAGAGATGATTGAAAAGTGGGAAAGTGGAGATTTGATTAATCCTCACATTTTGGGGATTAGGTTATGTCAATTTTTATCTGTGTATCTTCTTTTCATAACT